TACCTAACTGCACAACTGGTACTCTTATGAAAGAATTTTCAATCTAGAATTAAAATTCAGGCTTCAAGCTTACCTATAAAAGATAAATAATCACATTAGCGTTACAGTACGTCTGACTCTTAAAAGTCAGGTAGAGGTCAACCCAAGTCTGGCAGTTGCTGCAATTCATCTCAGCACCCAATTTTATATCAGCTGATTTGTGAGCACTTGGAAGAAGTAAAGTGTCCACCATGCATGGATAAACCACTGCAATGTGAGTAATGCCTATGGGTGGCCATGGCAGTCCATGACCTTACAATAAAGGTCAACAAAGGGAATGATCAGTGGTATAGCTGCCTGATGCTCCAATTCCAGTACATGTTTCTGGTGTTGGCTTCTCTCTTGTTGATGGCACCTTCCACAACAAATACTTTTAAAGAAGGGTCCATCAAATGAAGAGGTGTTTGGTGTCACTCCAGGGCTGTTTTGGCTAACACAGAGTGCACTGACGCTCCACCTGCATCTCATGCCCTTGGTCATAGGACATCTGGGCACATAACCAACACATAAAAGCATTTCTTGCACAGCTCTGAGGTATGCAATCGAACAGTTGGCAGCCAGGCCTCGAAGGAACCCAGGCAATGGTTTTGACTGCTGTTCTGGACGCAAAGGGTACAAAAACTAAAGCTGGCCATACATGTATAGATTTTCGTTCGAGAATTTTTGTTTCAAGAAAATTCGCTTGATTTTCTAATCATTAGTGGGGTCAAATCGATGGGTTTTTTCGACCACAGCAAAAAAGGGGCAGAAAGAAAAATTTTTCTTGATCAAACAAATTTTTGGCCAGTATATGTGGTTATCGTTCCAAAATTACATTCATTTTAAACCCGAATGCTAAAAGGAAAAGACAATTTTCGAACAATATTCGTTCATTCACCGAATGTTCAAAGAATTTTCGTACGACTTTTAGTACGAATATTCTCGTCCGAAAATCTACACTTGTATGGCTAGCTTAACTCTTTGGACTGTTATTTAGAGCGGATTCCTCCCTATTCTTATCTAAACTGTGCAGCGACCTTCAGTGGAGTTACACAGTTCACTGCAGTGAGTTGATGTTCTTCAAGGTCCAGCAGATGTCTCCTCTTCCAACGTTCTTCTGTCTGCCTATTATCCACCACCTTATAAAAAAAAACTGAACCAAAGGATTAAATAAATTAACTCCATTAAAAAAATCAGGGTGGATAGAAATCGATGATTTAAAAGAAAAAATTAAAACAAATTTGGATTTTTTTTTTTTAATTTAAATCTGAGTTTTTTTTTTTTTTTTTTAAATCAAATTTATTTTAATAAAATGCTATCTGAGCAAAAATCTATCTCAAGATAGTTTTCGATTTAAGACACATTAATCATTTAGTTTATTCAGCATGAAATGGAGCTTAGTTACGTAGCATGAGGCTGTATATTCTGCAATATTTACATTTTTGGTAAACTCATTCAATGAATCCAAGCTCTGCAAGGTGAGAGAACATTGAAGCATTCACACATAATTTCACAGTCACCATGAGAAAAAAACATGAAATAAAAGAATCTGAGTAGTTCTCCAGCTATGTGTGATTAACCTATTAAAGCGGAGCTCCACCCAAAAGGGGAAGTTCCGCTTTAAGGAATGCTCCCCATTAAGGATTGGCACCTTTGCGGGGCAGGGGGGGGAGCGGGTAATCGAATTTGACAGGTACCCGCTCCCACTTCCGGTCAGATCGCCTAGGCGATCAGAAACGGAAGGTGTCCTCCCACACTACAGTCTTTTGGGACACGGGTCAGGTCCCAGAAGAATACAGGACCATTCATGAAGCGCAGCGCTACTCGCACATGCGCAGTGGATACCCTGGCTGTAAAGTGGGTGCCCACACTGAAGATGCCGGCCTCCTGGAATACAGGAAGGCCGGTGAAACGAGCTGCGGGGGACACACCCTGGGGCAGAGGGACAGGTAAGTGGCTGTTTTTTAAAAAGTCAGCAGCTACAGTTTTTGTAGCTGCTGACTTTTATTTTTTGACAGGGTGAGTGGAACACCGCTTTAAAAAAAAATCAGGGTGGATAGAAATCGATGATTTAAAGAAAAAAAAAAACAATTAAAACATTTTTTTTTTTTTATTTCAATCAGATTTTTTTTTATTTTTATCAAATTTATTTTAATAAAATGCTATTGGAGCAAAAATCTATCTAAAGATAGTTTTCTACTTAAGATACATTAATAATGGAGTATATTCAGCATGAAATGGAGCTTAGTTACGTAGCATGAAGCTGTATATTCTGCAATATTTACATTTTTGGTAAACTCATTCAATGAATCCAAGCTCTGCAAGGTGAGAGAACATTGAAGCATTCACACAATTTCACAGTCAGCATGAGAAAAAAACATGAAATAAAAGAATCTGAGTCATTCTCCAGCTATATGTGATTAACCTATTAAAGCGGAGCTCCACCCAAAAGGGGAAGTTCCGCTTTAAGGAATGCTCCCCATTAAGGATTGGCACCTTTGGGGGGCAGGGGGGGGGGGGAGCGGGTAATCGAATTTGACAGGTACCCGCTCCCACTTCCGGTCAGATCGCCTAGGCGATCAGAAACGGAAGGTGTCCTCCCACACTACAGTCTTTTGGGACACGGGTCAGGTCCCAGAAGAATACAGGACCATTCATGAAGCGCAGCGCTACTCGCACATGCGCAGTGGTACCCGGCTGTAAAGCCGCAAAAGTGGGTGCCCACACTGAAGATGCCGGCCTCCTGGAATACAGGAAGGCCGGTGAAACGAGCTGCGGGGGACACACCCTGGGGCAGAGGGACAGGTAAGTGGCTGTTTTTTAAAAAGTCAGCAGCTACAGTTTTTGTAGCTGCTGACTTTTATTTTTTGACAGGGTGAGTGGAACACCGCTTTAAAAAAAAATCAGGGTGGATAGAAATGATGACTTAAAGAAAAAAAAAAAACAATTAAAACATTTTTTTTTTTTATTTCAATCAGATTTTTTTTTATTTTTATCAAATTTATTTTAATAAAATGCTATTGGAGCAAAAATCTATAAATAAGATAGTTTTCTACTTAAGATACATTAATAATGGAGTATATTCAGCATGAAATGGAGCTTAGTTACGTAGCATGAAGCTGTATATTCTGCAATATTTACATTTTTGGTAAACTCATTCAATGAATCCAAGCTCTGCAAGGTGAGAGAACATTGAAGCATTCACACAATTTCACAGTCAGCATGAGAAAAAACATGAAATAAAAGAATCTGAGTCATTCTCCAGCTATATGTGATTAACCTATTAAAGCGGAGCTCCACCCAAAAGGGGAAGTTCCGCTTTAAGGAATGCTCCCCATTAAGGATTGGCACCTTTGGGGGGGCGGAGGGGGGGGGGGGGAGCGGGTAATCGAATTTGACAGGTACCCGCTCTTCCACTTCCATTCCGACCGCCTAGGCGATCAGAAACGGAAGGTGTCCTCCCCCACTACAGTCTTTTGGGACACGGGTCAGGTCCCAGAAAACTACAGGACCATTCATGAAGCGCAGCGCTACTCGCACATGCGCAGGGGGTACCTGGCTGTAAAGCCACAAGCTGTGCCCACACTGAAGATGCCGGCCTCCTGGAATACAGGACGGCCTGTGAAACGGGCTGCGGGGGACACACCACGGCACTGAGGGACAGGTAAGTGGCTGTTTTTTAAAAAGTCAGCAGCTACAGTTTTTGTAGCTGCTGCCTTTTATTTTTTGACAGGGTGAGTGGAACACCGCTTTAAAAAAAAAATCAGGGTGGATAGAAATCGATGATTTAAAGAAATTTCACAGTATCCATAAGAAAAAAAACACGAAATAAAAGAATTTGAGTCGTTCTCCAGCTGTGTGTGATTAACCTATTGACCTAAAATCGGTTCTGAGATCGTGGTTTTACTAACCAGACAGCTTATTATTCTAAAAAGGAAACCTTCATTTACCAGCAAGAATGAGTCGTATTCCTTATATTTAAAGAGTACCTGTCATTTTAGATCCATCATGGCAGCATCTGTTAGCAGGCATCCACTCACCTGCTGCCGCCACGTCCCTCACCTTGTCACTGCCGCATCACCAGCCGTCCCATCAAAGTGAATGGGACTGTTGGTGAGTCAACAGCGGGTCAGAGGAGGAGCTGTTGTGGGAGTCCCAGGGGCGGACTGACCATTCGAGCACTCAGGCACTGCCTGAGGGCCCGGGGTCAGTAGGGGGCCACATGAGATGCCCCTGGTACCTTTCATTGGCTTTTTGATAGGCTTTTTTGGGTGTAGGCAAGGACACAGGGGCCCCATGATCCCCTATTGCCCGGGGGCCCCATGAGTTGTCAGTCCACCCCTGTGTGGGACAGAGATTTATTTATTTCAGGTACTTATATAGCGCCATCAATTTACGCAGCGCTTTACATACATATTGTACATTCACATCAGTCCCTGACCCTCAAGGGGCGTACAATCTAAGGTCCCTAACTTACATTCATACATACACATACTAGGGACAATTTAGACAGGAGCCAATTAACCTACCAGCATGTCTTTGGAGTGTGGGAGGAAACCAGAGTACCCGGAGGAAACCTACGCAGGCACAGGGAGAACATGCAAACTCCAGACAGGTGGTGCCGTGCCTAGGATTCGAACCAACGACCCTAGTACTGCCAGGCGGAAGTGCTAACCATTTGGTCACTGTGCTGCCCTAGATGACAGGTGCTCTTTAAAAATCATGATTTAAATCAAGCCTTTTCACTAGTGATTTCAATCATGATTTAAAATAACTTGATTTAAATCAAATCCACCCTGAAAAAAAAACGACTAATCTGAGTCGCCCCCACATAAAAAGAATGGCTGCAACTCATTTAGGAGTCTAAAACCACCCATGGACTATACCTGAACTGCGACCTTACCTCCACATCCAGGGCCAACTGGTTACATAGAAGTTCTGCTTTGCTCCCTTAGCATTTTAGGTTTGTTTAACCACTCCATATCAGGGGCGGACAGACCATTTGGAAACTCGGGCATTGCCCGAGGGCCCGGGGTCAGTAGGGGGCTCCATGAGATGCCCCTGGTACCTTTTTCATAGGCTTTTTTGAGTTTGGGCAAGGTCACAGGGGCCCCATGATCCCCTATTGCCTGGGGGCCCCATGAGTTGTCAGTCCGCCCCTGATCCATATATTAAACTTCAGTTGAGGTGCAAGGCATGATGGTAGAAGAATGATGACAGTGGAATGTCCACAGAGATTTTTCTGAAGCAACCATTTACTATTCCCACACAGCCCATATGGAGCAGCAAAAAGCAGTGAGACACGCTGTCCTCTGTACACAACGCAGGACATAGAAGATTCCTTGTCCTATGACGCAGCAAACAGGATGAAAAAATTCATCCCTGTCTCAAATATTTATACCACAAGAAGACTTGGAGAAGACAAACAGAACGGAAAAATATTTCAGGAAGAATAGCTCCAACAAAATGTGACTCAGGCAGGCCATTCATTATACAATTTTCTTGAGAATTTTGCTTTAGATTTCCCCAAAACCATATGAGGTCAAACATACACAACACATTCAACTGTATCCAATTGGACAGGCCCTTGCACTACATAGCTGAAGGTAAATCTAAAGGAAATTGGGCAGAAAATTGTATAGTGTATGGCCAGTCTAACGTTACACAATGGCCATCAGAAAACCGTTAATTGCTTACAAGTGAAACTCGAAAAATTAGAATATCGTGCAAAAGTTCATTTATTTCAGTGCAGCAACTTAACCACTTCCAGACCGGACACTTTTACCCCCTTCCTGACCAGGGCAATTTTCAGATTTCAGCGCTATCACACTTTGAATGACAATTGCGCGGTCATGCAACACTGTACCCAAATTAATTTTTTACCATATTTTTTTGAGACAGATAAAGCTTTATTTTGGTGGTATTTATTCACTGCTGGGATTTTTTATTTTTTTTGCTATTTAAATGAAAAAGTCCAAACATTTTGAACAAAAGTGTTTTTTTTATAAAATTTTGCAAATAAATAATATTTTATCATAAATCTTTGCCAAAATGTATTCCGTTATCTTTTTAGTAAAAAAAAAAAAACAAAACAAATTACTTTATAACCAAAAATTATAATTTTTAAACATTTTTTTTTACATTTTTATTTTATTTTTTTATATTATTTTTTATTTATTTATTTATTTTTATATACTGTCACCCTAGCAGTACAGTGTCACCATGGTGACACTGTACTACTTGTGGGGGGTGATGAAGATTTTTTTTTTTTTTTTTTTACAATGATTGCTTTTTACACCCATATAGGATGTAAAAGCAATCATTTCTCTTTCTCTCTGTGTGCATTCCTGCACTCATTGAGAAGTACTGAGTGAGCTGTGATTGGTCACAGCTTGTCACATGGTACAAGGCTGTTGTGAATAGCCTTGTACCATGTGACCTCTGTGATCATTCACAGATTTCACACGTAGTAAGCAATGATGTCACAAGTGACATCTTGCTTACTACTTTGCATGTGATCACTGATTGGCCAATCAGTGATCACATGATCGGGACCTCGTACAGAGGTCCCGTCCGACGATTGGTGTTTCACTGTGTTCGGAGGACACAGCGGGCACTGGATCGCGGTGCTACGTGCTCCCGGGGAGCGTGCACAAGCAGGGTGCGGGGAGGCCGTTCATAAACGGCCACCCGACCCTGTACTGCCACCGTCCGGCCGTTTATATGCAACGGCCGGTCGGGAAGTGGTTAAAAGGTGAAACTAATATATGAGATAGACTCATTACATGCAAAGCAAGATAGTTCCAGCCGTGATTTGTCATCATTGCGATGATTATGGCTTACAGCTCATGAAAACCCCAAATCCACAATCTCAGAAAATGAGAATATTGTGAAAAGGTGCAATATTCTCGGCTCAAAGTGTCCCACTCTAATCAGATAATTAAGCCATAACACCTGCAAAGGGTTCCTGAGCCTTTAAATGGCTCTGTCTGGTTCAGTAGGAATCACAATCATGGGAAAGACTGCTGACCTGACAGTTGTGCAGAAAACCATCACTGACACCGTCCATAAGGAGGGAAAGCCTCAAAAGGTAATTGCAAAAGAAGTTGGATGTTCCCAAAGTGCTGTATCAAAGCACATTAATAGAAAGCTATGTGGAAGGGAAAAGTGTGGAAGAAAAAGGTGCACAAGCAGCAGGGATAACTGCAGCCTGGAGAGGATCGTCAGGAAAAGGCCATTCAAAAGTGTTGGGGACTTTCACAAGGAGTGGACTGAGGCTGGAATCAGTGCATCAAGAGCCACCACACACAGACGGATCCTGGACATGGGCTTCAAATGTCGTATTCCTCTTGTCAATGTGCTCCTGAACAACAAACAACGTCAGGAGCATCTTACCTGGGCTAAAGAAAAACAGACCTGGTCTGTTGCTCAGTGGTCTAAAGTCCTCTTTTCTGATGAGAACAACTTTTGAATCTCATTTGGAAACCAAAGACCCCGAGTATGGAGGAAGAATGGAGAGGCCCAAGGACCCCGAGTATGGAGAGGCCCAAGGACCAAGAGTATGAAGGAAGAATGGAGAGGCCCAAGGACCCCGAGTATGGAGAGGCCCAAGGACCCCGAGTATGGAGGAAGAATGGAGAGGCACACGCTGCAAGATGCTTGAAGTCTAGTGTGAAGTTTCCACAGTCTGTGTTGATTTGGGGAGCCATGTCATCTGCTGGTGTTGGTCCACTGTGCTTCATTAAGTCCAGGGTCAACACAGCCGTCTACCAGGAGATTTTGGAGCACTTCATGCTTCCTTCCGCAGATGAGCTTTATGGGGATGCGGACTTCATTTTCCAGCAGGACTTGGCACCTGCCCACACTGCCAAAAGCACCAAAACCTGGTTCAATGACCGTGGGATTACTGTGCTTGATTGGCCAGCAAACTCGCCTGACCTGAACCCCATAGAGAATCTATGGGGCATTGCCAAGAGAAAGATGAGATACAAGAGACCGAACAATGCAGAAGAGCTGAAGGCCGCTATTGAAGCATCCTGGTCTTCCATAACACCTCAGCAGTGCCACAGGCTGATAGCTTCCATGCCATGCCGCATTGAGGCAGTAATTGCTGCAAAAGGGGCCCAGACCAAGTACTGAGTACATATACATGCTTATACTTTTCAGAGGTCTGATATTGTTCTATGTACAATCCTTGTTTTATTGATTGCATGTAATATTCTCATTTTCTGAGATTGTGGATTTGGGGTTTTCATGAGCTGTAAGCCATAATCATCACAATGATGACAAATCACGGCTTGAACTCTCTTGCTTTGCATGTAATGAGTCTATCTCATAGATTAGTTTCACCTTTTAAGTTGCATTACTGAAATAAACAAACTTTTGCACGATATTCTAATTTTTCGAGTTCCACCTGTAAATCCCCATCAAGGTTCATATTCTCCGCACACAGCTTCAATCGCTCCACATGATTCTGCTCTATGCAACCTCCCCCTCCTGCTCCAAAAAGTGCTAAAAGAGGATAAGGATGCACTGGGCTCAGGTAGAGGACGGTGCTGGAACTTGGGGACAAATGACATATTCCCTAAAGGCTCATTCCACCTTTAGGCTCCATGCACATGGTAACAGTAGTTGTGTAAAGTCAAGTTTTTCAGCATTCTTCCATTAGCAGTTAGCCATGTTTTTTCGCATTTGCGGTTTTTAGCGGTTTTTTTTTTTAAACATTTTTTTTTATTTTGCTCAAAAAAAGGTCCAAAAATGCAGGTTTGGCACGATTTACCGCGTTTTTCAGCGTTAGAGCGTATTTACAGCTAAAAAAAACTCCTCTAGAATCCCACTAGTACTGGGTTTTTCTTTCCAGCCAAAAAAAGTCGATTACAGTCTATGTGTGTATGGACACATAGGATAACATGCTGGGGGGTTTACTGGCTGTAGCAAAAAAAATGGCAAAAGCCAAAAACAGCGGTTATAAAAAAAAGTGTGCAAGAGGACTTAGCCCTGGTTCACACTGGTGCGGAATTCGCAGCGTTTTCAGTGCAAATTCCGCACCGCATCACAATCGCACACCGTTCATGTGAACCGCTGCGGGTGTATATGTTAAGTTAGCAACACCCCAAAAGCGGTCCGCAAAACGCGGTGCGATGTGCAGAATTGGATTGCATAGGTGTGAATACCCATCTGATCCGGTTTTAGTGCGGACCAAAAAAGGGTCCTGCACGTTTTTGGTGCGGTGCGAATAGAGCCATACAAAAAACTCATATGGGTGCAGTGTTGCATGATCGCGCAATTGTCATTCGAAGTGTGATAGCACTGAAAGCTGAAAATTGGCCTGGACAGGAAGGGGGTAAAAGTGTCCGGACTCGAAGTGGTTAATACTTCTTTAATTCTTCTTTTGCATGATGTTTTTTTTTTTTTTACTTTAAGAATTACTTTTAAAAAGATTGGCTTTAAAATCGCTTGGATTCATTGCCTACGCTCATTGCCTACGCTCATTGCCTACGCTCATTGCCTACCTCATTGCCTACGCTCATTGCCTACGCTCATTGCCTACGCTCATTGCCTACGCTCATTGCCTACGCTCATTGCCTACGCTCATTGCCTACGCTCATTGCCTACGCTCATTGCCTACGCTCATTGCCTACGCTCATTGCCTACACTCATTGCCTACACTCATTGCCTACACTCATTGCCTACACTCATTGCCTACACTCTGTAGCTTCACATCCTCATACAATCCAGCATTCTATACAAAACACAAACGCTAGCTTTGTGTTGACTCGGATTACTTTTCTATCTTTGATTTCAACATATGTCACAAATCTGCTGACAGGCAAACGCAATTAACACATACTTTATGAAAGCAAACAAACAGTTACAATCTGTTGAATTGTACCTTCTGTCTTACAGATTCTTTGGCGAAATGGCGGAAGATATAAATTAGGTTGGAAAAAAACAAAAAAAAACTCATAAACTCATAAATCTATGCTTGTTGTGTCGTATGCTTCATGAAGATATTTTGTGTTCAGTAAAGAATGATACAGACGATGCAAAAAAAAAAAAAAAAAAAAAGGCTGGCCATACACTATACAATTTTCTTGAGATATTTTGCTTTAGATTTACCAAAAAATAATATAATGTGCGG